CTCCATACCACCCCACCCCACCCCCTAAAAAAAGAAAAAAAAGCCTTAGCAGGAGCTCCAGGGCAGCCTAGGCAACACGGGAAGAACCCATCTAAAAATAAAAACCCAACCATGGTGGCACATGGGTGTTATCCCAGTACTCAGGACAGTGAGGCAGAAGGATCCCATAGTGAATTCAAGGCCAGCTTGGGCTATAAAGTGAGTTCAAAGCCAGCCTGAACTGTATAATGAAGCCCTGTCTCAAAAAAGAGGAACAAAGAAAAGCCTTCACATTTTATTTACAAAGCATTAATTATTAATTATATTATTTCCAGGTAATAGGGAAAAACTAAATAAATGCATGTTTCTCATGTCTAGGCGGAGGCCCAGATTGCTGCAAAAAATGTGGACAAGGAATACCTGCCCATCGGGGGCCTGGCTGAATTTTGTAAGGCATCTGCAGAACTAGCCCTGGGGGAGAACAACGAGGTGTTGAAAAGTGGCCGGGTAAGCAGAGCAGACTCTAGCACTGCACGAGGATCTGTCATTATGCGTAACAATTTAAACAGATTTGAAGTAATTTAAGTAATTTTTAAAAACAGAAACTAGAACTCAGTTCATATGTGTGCAATGGCTCAGGTGGCCACACTTGCTATTTCTCTTTAGGTAGTAAATTGGCAATAATTTAAAATAATGATTATCGGGGATGGGGAGTTAGTAAAATTAAGTGTTTGCCTGGCAAGCGCAAGGTCCTGAGTTCAATCCCCAGTACCACAAAAATAAATAAGATTATGTAAATTATAGTTCTAAAAATATACTAGTAATCCTGGAATTACAGTAGTGATTTGACTGATAGGTTTATTCTACTTCTGCTGTTAATGTCCACGTGTTGTGTTCACTTCACACTGAAGTACTTTAGAAACACCTGGCTGTGCCTGGTTTTAGACCCATAAATAGAGTCCCCACGCTCACGTACTAAGCTCCCAGTACTGAAAAACAAAAATTAAGCCAGCAGTCTTTCTCCTCCTCCCCTTCTTTAAAACCAGAACAAATTTTGTTCATAAGAGTGGTCTAAATCAGTTATTTAACTCAGAGAGTTAATTCGTTAACTCAGAGAGCAATATATAACCTCAAGCCCAGTAATTATCTTAAGTCATGGACACAGTATGATGTAGTTATTGTCCATGCAATGAAACCACCTGTTAACTCCTCAC